CCTCATCATTGTATGACGTTGAGGGCTGAATTAAAGAATCCGTGATAGGTATCTTAGAAGTTGTATATGGGCAAGGCAGTGGATAGCGACACGCTTGCTGCGAAGTTTAAATCTGCGTCAACATTGACCGTAAAGTACGTAGTTACAGGGTATTTGATCCCCGTTCCCCCATAGAATCAAAGTTTTAAACTGAGCCGAGTTCGACAGCTGCCGCAACTGCGAGCTTGGCGAACTCCAAAGAGTGGGTCCAAGAAAAGCCGCTGACGGAGGTGGTATCGGACGGGCTGTGGATGTACGGGTTCTCGTACGCGGTGGGGGCTATTCAAATGAGTAAGATCAAGCTAACCCCGCATTTATAGGGACTTACCCTCGAAGGGGAAGGCAGCGGGGTATCCCTGGGTGTTCCAACTGGCATGGTCAGAGCAAGCATAGCCACACTACCCGATGTGTTAGTCCGAGGTTGATGAGCCGAGTTAGCTGAATTACGTACGTAGTCAGTGCCGGCAGGAATAGAGCAGTAAGCGGAGATCAAAGAACGAAGGTAGGTGTTGAGGCCAGAATCAACGCGGTCGGTGACGAGGGCGATAACCTCAGTCGAGCCAGGCTGGAAGCTATGGTTGCTTTAGTAAATGTCTTAATTTTCATGATACAGCACTTACTAGCCGGTCATGTCCAAGTTAATCATAGCATGAACGGACTTTCCTGCGCTTTTGTAGTTGGCAGCGACCGCCTGGGAGCCAAGCAAGCCAACCTCTTCGGCCGAATAGAAATGGAACTCAACGGGACGAACAGGGGAGAAACCAGCGGCAACGAGAGCACGGAACACTTCGATCAGGTTCACAGTTCCGGTTCCATTGTCGTCTGCACCTGGAGCGCGACCAGAGGAGGGCGAGTTGGCGTTGATCGAATCAATGTGGCAACCAAAGATGACAGCCGCAGCGGTAGTCGATGCGCCATTGAACTTGGCGATGATCGACTTTTGGGGCCACGAGTGGCTGAATTGAGAGACGGTGATACCGCTGGTGCTGCCTGCGATCGAGATGAGCTGATTGTAGATCCAGGTGCTAGCAGCAGAACCAGTGGTGCTGGTGTAGTAACGGGTGTTGTATGAAGTCAAAGTAGAGAGGCTGCTTTGCATACGAGAGGTGGAAAGAGTGGAGATGATCGACTTGACAGTGGAACTCTTGGAAGGAGAGGGGTCTGTTGTGAATCAGCATCGAATTGCGCACCACGAACGATACCGACTACTCACAAGTCGCACGCTCAACAATTGCGTTGATACCCTTGGCCTTTTGCTCCTCGACCTCGTGATAGGTCTCGGTCAGATCGAACTAATTGGGTGTAAATGGATATTATGGTACGAAATGTCTGAAATTACTCACGAAACCCTTGTCTGCGCGGATTAGCTCAAGCTTCTGGACCTCCGTGGCCCAGAATGGTGCAGTGTCCTCCGAGGTCTGGATGAGGCGCAACCCCTTGGCGACATTGGTGTCAAAGTCCGAGACGGGAACTGCGAGTACAGCAGACAAGCAAATAGAGCCAAGAGCGAGCGCACGTGTGAACTTCATAATGAACGAGCGGGGATCCACTATCTTCGTCAGTCTGGTTGTGCCCCCTATAAATGTCTCGTGGCAATTTCATTCCCCGGGCTAGAATACTGGAAAGCGTATGGGACGACGGCGTTTCGAATTTCAAAGCTAGTACGCCCGTGGTGAAGCGGTGGGGTAGCCATCCGTCATTCGTGAGGTAGTTATGTCACTTGACCCCGATGTATCGAACAGCCATGGTGGTTGCTGCGGAGACTCGCCTTATCATGCTAGTCCACGCGTGGGAGAGAATATGCATGCAACGCAACCATAAGGTCGGGAAGAATCGCTTGGCAAAAAGAAGAGAAGGTAAAGCATGATGGACAACCGCAGGGCTTCGAACGCATGCAGCAGTGTTCGTGCCAAGCCATTTGGAATATACCCGGACTTCATTTATTGCAATCTTTAACCAATCTGTATAGCGTCAATTTCACCTGTTTTCAAGGTTGGCTAGCTCAGTTGGTTAGAGCGTCGAGCTAATACACCAGCCCAATTGGGTAGGTAATGTAACTCGAAGGTCGTGGGTTCGACCCCCCCGCTGACCATCTTTTTTCTCTGATAAATATAGTAATATTATTATATTCGAGAGTTATCAAATTTGGGTAAATACAAGAACAGGTCCCTTCTAAGCGTAGCTACCAGAGCCTCCATACGACCGACTCAAACTCTGGTGGGTGATATCCCCCCTCAACCAAACGGAGGTCCGGTACAATTCCTCTGAGTTCTTTCACGAAGCCGGCACCTTCTTGAAGGGATTCCCAATAATGACCCCTATTCCGGTTAATATCCTGGTACTCTCCCCCGAGTACAAGTCCTTGTAGGGAGTGGCCTGATATCATGTCCCGGAAGACTTTCTTGTTGTGAATCCGGACCGAAGTCAGGTGAAGGTTCTGTAGCGCCGGCCCCTCCGGGGGTATTCGAGTATCGTCCATTCGCATTAGGATCTTGCATAAACCCTTGCCGAAATTCCATTTGTGAATTTTTAGCGTCCTCAACGTTGGCATTGTTTTGAAGAGTGTGCCGAATTTCGACATAGTCACCCACTCATCATGGAAATGCCCATCTATCATTAATGTGTCGATCGGTGTACGCCTCATTACTTGCCGCAAGCCTTCAAAATCAGAGTTATTCGCGAAATCAACATCCACTAGGGTGTTGATCTCAAGACATCTGGGAGTAAGAAAGAGCGCCAAGGAATACGGACCAGGAGCCATCACCGGAAGCAGGCGCTCCAAGGTGTTGAGGTACAAGTCTTGAAGTAGTAGCGACTGAAGGGCTGGGAATGTGACAGTCGCGTGTGATGACTCATCAGAACCAAAGAGCGAGAATAAACCACGGAAGGTCGAGACTGCAATAAGCTTTAGGTCTCGTAAATTGGATGCTGAAGAGAGCGCTTGCATGAACGGGATAATCTCATCGTCGTATCCGAGGACCACTTGCTGGATTCTAAGCTCGACGAGCCGTGTGGAGAAAGCCATAGTGGCCCAATGAAAATGGACGCCACTGGTACGGAAGGTCGCAAGGCCCCACAAAACCTTGGCGAATGATGCTTCTTGAGGGGAATGGCGGGGGATGATATAGTCGGACCGTTGGGGGAGCCTGTGGGACTCAGCACGTGTAGCGATGCACTGAATAGACAGTTCAGAGAGCGACTCGAGGGCGCCGTGTTGCAATAGCCCGTTGATAGTATCCCTAATTTCCGCCGGGTCATCCATGCTAATGTTGATAGTATGGAAGCGAGGTCCGTGTGCAATTAAGATCTTAGCGGGGTCAGCCAGTGAATTGGTGAGCTCGATAGCTACAGCCAAATGTAGTAGGCCCCCGCCAGCCCTTTGTAGACTAAGTTCGGAGGGTCGCCATTTGTCGACAAAGGGGCTCAAGACGACCGGTACCACCGACCAAAGGGCCCCTCTATTCATTGCGATATCTCTCCAGGCAGAGCAGACACCGAGCAAGGTATAGACGCGGCGATAAATGAGCCAGATTTCTTGTTTCATTGTTAGGGGCTCGGATATTCCTGAGTCGTTGTGGTCATAGACAACGTCCATGAAGATTTTGGATAAGATCTCCTCGGGAAGAGAATAAATTGAAGATACAAGTCTGTTTCGAGTGCGTGCCAGCGCAGAGCAAGATTCATCAAGATGTCGAGATATGGTTGTATGTACTTCCGCGAGGGTGGATTCGATCCTGGATACCAAGTCTTCCGAGTTCGCACCCTCGAGCAGTGAGTTGGTTCCCAGGTTGAGACACAAATTCGCGTAATCCTTAAGCATAGTCACCAAGGACGCGCCAGCTTCCTCCCATTGTTTGATCGTGAGGCAAGGCGAATACTTAAGCCTAGTCAATTCACTATCTTGAGATTGGTTCAAATCGACCTACATCCGACGAGTTCATATTGAACTAAAAATTAGTGTTCACCCTCGATAGAAGGATTTCGACCTGGACCGTGTTCCTTGGGACTAATGGAGGAGTCAAGTGAGGTTCGGATTGTACATCATGTGGAGTCGATCTCGATTTCTCAATTGCAAATTATGTGATGCTAGCCCCTGACAAAGGTGTGGGTTAAATGCATACCCAAGTCGGCCAACCACACAAAGGAGCTCGGGTATTGGCTAACGTTGGAGACGGGTAACGGAGTCCTATAGCTGGTGGAGGACGGAAGCAGGAGGATGGAACAGTGTCCCGGGTACCCCCCGGGACCCCCCGATCCAACGTCTTGCACAATCGCACGCATAGTTACAAAAATTAATTATAGGCACTGAAAAATATGAGAAATTGGTTAGTTGATGCGGCTGAACCACCCAATTCTTCACGAAAGTCAGCATATGCCGAGTACCATAGTTTCCGTTCATCCCACAGGGGTCTGGTGGGTAATATCCTTCTTCAA